ATCGTGGTTCTTAGCTTAAAATATCAGTTTATAGTGATGATGTCGTTATAAGGTCGTGGTTCTTAGCTTAAAACATCAGTTTAGAGTGGTGATGTCAGTGCAAGGTCGTGGTTCTTAATTTAAAATATCAGTTTATAGTGATGATGTCGTTGTAAGGTCGTAGTTCTTAGCTTAAATTATCAGTTTAGAGTGGTGATGTCTTTGTTAGGTTGTGGTTCCTAGCTTAGAATATCAATTAAAAGTGGTAATGTCTTTGTTAGGTTGTTGTTCTTAGATTAAAATATCAGTTTAAAGTGATGATGTCGTTGTAAGGTCGTAGTTCTTAGCTTAAAACATCAGTTTAGAGTGGTGATATCTTTGTTAGGTCGTGGTTCCTAGCTTAGAATATCAGTTAAAAGTGGTGATGTCTTTGTTAGGTCGTGGTTCTTAGCTTAAATATCAGTTTAAAGTGGTGATGTCTTTGTTAGTTCATGGTTGTTAGCTTAAAATATCAGTTTAAAGTGGTGATGACTTTGTTAGGTCGCGGTTCTTAGCTTTAAATATCAGTTTACAGTGGTGATGTCTTTGTTAGGTCGATGATCTTTGCTTTAATTATTAGTTAAAAGTAGTGAAGTCTTTGTTAGGTCGTGGGTCTTAGCTTAAAATATCGGTTTAAAGTGGTGATGACTTTGTTAGGTCGTGGTTCTTAGCTTAAATATCAGTTTAAAGTGGTGATGTCTTTGTTAGTTCATGGTTGTTAGCTTAAAATATCAGTTTAAAGTGGTGATGACTTTGTTAGGTCGTGGTTCTTAGCTTTAAATATCAGTTTACAGTGGTGATGTCTTTGTTAGGTCGATGATCTTTGCTTTAAATATCAGTTTAAAGTAGTGAAGTCTTGGTTAGGTCGTGGGTCTTAGCTTAAAATATCGGTTTAAAGTGGTGATGTCTTTGTTAGTTCATGGTTGTTAGCTTAAAATATCAGTTTAAAGTGGTGATGTCTTTGTTAGGTCGTGGTTCTTAGCTTTAAATATCAGTTTAAAGTGGTGATGTCTTTGTTAGGTCGTGGATCTTTGCTTTAAATATCAGTTTAAAGTGGTGATGTCTTTGTTAGGTCGTGGATCTTAGCTTAAAATATCGGTTTAAAGTGGTGATGACTTTGTTAGGTCGTGGTTCTTAGCTTAAAATATCAGTTTAAAGTGGTGATGACTTTGTTAGGTCGTGGTTCTTAGCTTAAATTATCAGTTTAAAGTGGTGATGTATTGGTTAGGTCGTGGTTCTTAGCTTAGAATATCAGTTTAAAGTGGTGATGACTTTCTTAGGTCGTGGTTCTTAGCTTAAAATATCAGTTTAATGTAGTGATGTCTCTGTTAGGTCGTGGTTCTTAGCTTAAATTATCAGTTTAAAGTGGTGGTGTCTTAGTAAGGTGATGGTTCTTAGCTTAGAATATCAGTTTAAAGTGGTGATGTTTTTGTTAGGTCGTGGTTCTTAGCTTAAATTATCAGTTTAGAGTGTTGATGTTTTAGTAAGGTGGTGGTTCTTAGCTTAAAATATCAGTTTAAAGTGGTGATGTCTTTGTAAGATCGTGGTTCTTAGCTTAAAATATCAGATTAAAGTGGTGATGTCTTTGTTAGGTCGTGGTTTTAGCTTAAAATATCAGTTTAATGTAGTGATGTCTTTGTTAGGTCGTGGTTCTTAGCATTTAATGTATGTTAAAATTGGTCTAGTCTTTGTAATGTTCGTGCTTTTCAGTATAAAACGTTACTTTAAATTCGTATTGTCTATTTTAGGATCTTGGTTCTAAATATAGAATGTTAGCTTTTACTGGTGATATCTTTGGATGCCTTTGGTTCTTAGGATAAAATATCAGTTTAAATTGTTGGTGGTGTATACGCTCCATGGTTTTGAGCATATCAAGTCAGTTTAAATGGGTTTTCTTTTAAGTTAATACATATATTTTGTTCTGGAAAGTTTTATCTTGTGAACGCCTTGCTATGATAATTCCAAACTGCTTTGTTTTAAAAATGAAAATAGGAAATAGCAACATATCAACATTGGACGATGATCGCAATTTCCACGTCTTACTTGAACCCCGTTTGAGAAGCCTAGAAGCACAATACATTTCAAAGTACCAAGGACTTAGGACTTGCCAAGAGAATAAGAAAATTGTATTAGACTCAGATAAAGATATCGATTAGATATAATTTGATTTTCTCTCCACACTAGTTGACGGAAACTGTCATGTGTGGGGTTTTACCACGGGAAGGGTATCCCAGACCACAAATTATCCACTTTAGATTGGTACTGTTTTATTGACCACAGCTGAGTACGCATACCAAATCTAGCCGAGCAGGTTCCACCTAAATTAATTATGGAAACAGAAAAAACACCACAGGGAAATAACACACAAAATGTATACATGTATATGCAAAAGGTCCAAAATAACAGGGAAAATAACAAAAAGAACCAGATTAAAAAGTAAAATAGCTTACAGAGATATTACATCACAATTTCATTGTAAAAAGGGTCCGGATAACAGGTACTTCATATATGATATCGGAATAAAGAGTGAAATGGTAAATAATCCGGAAAACCTAGTTCAATATATTTCAAATGTCAAAATATTTACATGGCCCCGGTTGCTCAAATATTTGTTAACTTTAAAAATCGGTTATTGGAAAATTCTAATCGTTGGCACTAAAACCCAGGGGCTTTCAAAGCCAAATAGATCCTTAAAACACATCAATCTTATTTGTTTCTGCCGGTTTTATAAATAAAGTTACATCAGATGCTATTTGTTTTGTTTTATTCATATTTTAAATTTTCCAATAACCACTCAGCCTTTGAGTAATTTGAGCCATATTAGTTAACGTTAATTTCACGGTTGTTTCATTAGAAACATATTGACTTACCGTACTTATGGACTTAAAATTTAACGGTTGGTCCGGTTTATAGTTCCTGTTTTGCCAATTTAACTATTGGTAGATATGTCGTCTTGACCTTTATGCACAAAGCCATATTTTGTGCTCTAAATGATACAGATAGGCTTCGTCCTGAAGAGAATTCACGTCAGCGTCATAACCGAATTTTCGAAATATCCGACGTCAATGTCTCCTATGAGTTTATGAAGACTACTTAACTATGTCTAAAGTCGTTAACTGTCTACAAAAGCTTCTGAAATTGACAGGGCCAGGGGGGCCGCATGTGTTGCCTCAACACTTATCATTCGGGAGGGCGTGGTTTTATTTCTATTTTGTTATGACGTTTTATGTTGTCTTTCTTCTTGTTTTGGGGCCTTCTCGTTTCCGACCACTGCAGCTTTGGGTATCGGGAAAAGAATGCACCTGCTGTTATCCACTGCATGTATCGGAGGAGACGACTAATGTGGGAACCTTCTGTAGAATTGGGGATTTGCTTTGGTGTCCTATATTTAGGGACACAAAAACGACCAAAATAAATCTGCTGCACCCATTGCAATATTTGGGATCTTTATCTTTCTTTCTACTTCTTACTACCTTTTATTTCCTAGCGCCTTGCTTGGCAACACCTCACTTTTGGCCTGAATTTTGAGCGTTCGCCCAGGTGAGGAAGGTAATGGGTTATGTTCGAAGCGAACCGAAGCCGCATTTCGTCCTTGTATCTTGTCGCCTGCACATCAAAAGTGTCCCAAACCATTGAGTGTATAGTCCGGATGCCTAACACAGCTAATTGCCGTTACGAAATTTAGAAACCCGACAAGTCCAGGAGACAAACACACGAAGAAAGTATCGACTCGTATTCTAGAGTATAGACAGACAGAATTGTTTCACACACTCAATGACGAGATTTTGTAGAAGGCTCGGATTTTGTTTACAAGACCGTTTCTAGTGATTGTTACATAAATTTGTAAATATATAAAATGTCAAAAAATGAAATGAATGAAATGTCACATCATCATGTCATTTCATGTCTGGAAACCCAAGATTATATCGAATCATGAAACAGATGATGTGTCTAAAACATTTAGAAAGGAGTATTTAATTAACACGAGACGCTTTGTTGTCTTGTGACACAGATTACATTTTAACCATGTCATTTTTCATATGAACAAAATTCGTTATGAGATTGAAGAATCCAGGTAAATTCACGAGTTGACTTTTTAAATCCTATCAACTTATTAATTAAGTGTCATCTGATGCATAACTATGCGGGATCCATTTAATTATTTGTTAACACTCATTTATCTATTTGTTCACTTATTTATCTATTTATATGAATATATTTAATAACATATACATATGTTTGAGACGGTCTACAAATGTTTAGATTTTTGTTTGATGGGGTGTTGTTGGGGGGTGGGGGGTGGGGGGGG